GGAGGCCAAAGCAATTAGGCTGGAGGCCATCGCTAGTAGGTTGGAGGTCAAAGCAATTAGGTTGGAGGATTTCTATGCTCCGAGGAATGGCGACCTCCTGTCTGGGAAGACTGTTGAGTCCAAGGCCTGGACGTGGGAGGTGCCCTTGGGAGGAGCTGTTGGGAGGAGCTGTTCTTTGTTTCCGGAGGTTTTTTGTTTGGTCACCGCCTTTTTTTGTGGCCAAAGACGGACTGCAGCAAAGGTGTCCTCAAAGGAAACGAGCTGAATGAGAGGGATGGGACTCAGATGTTCCCAAGTGTTTTGTATGATCAACTTGTGGATTTTGTTTCCATGATCGCTGAGGATCCTGTGTACCACTCGATGGGCCTTCGATGTCAGAAGCAGACTGGATTTTACATGATTTAACTCAAAGGCGGTTTGTTCTGTGGTGATGTATTCTTACATATTACCCCGCCCCTCCCGCAGCAACCAGATGTCTCAAGGATGTTCCCTACATCTCCAGGTTGTGAGGTTGCATGGTCGAACATGCCAAAAATACGGCAGGCGTTTGCCCGCATTTGCAGAGGTGGTACGCCAATTCGGTCGGTATGCCACGAAAACAATCCCGACAAGGCAAGTCAGGCAAGCCCGATGGCCCCTTCTTCCCCCCAGGATCGCGATTCTGTGAGTCTGGATCTTTAGCGCGGCGTTTTGGGCAAAGACCAGAAGGCCACAAGTCGGTGACGTTGAGGCTTCAAATTAGTATTTTTTCAAGAATATCGGCATGGACCGGAGTTTCTGCAGTGTTTCTCTCGTAAATTTGTTGTCGGCATTTGTTGTCACAGACAATTATAGATGACTATCGTGATCACTCTCGTGTTGGACGTTATGACATGCTTTCGGGACGTTGAAATAACAGAGTTCCCCAACTTCAGGCGACCGACGATCGTTTTTTTCTTGCATTGAGAACTCGTAAGAGATCACTTCGAATGTTGGAGTGATTGTCCGAACACAAATGCTTCACGACAGAGTCAATCAATCAACAAAATCAAACAAGCAAGGACCCTCTCGGCCCCAACATAACTGAGAGGAAAAGGGGTTTGTTTGGAAGGTTTGTTTTCGGCAATGTGGGTGTTTATTCTCATCCCTCAACCTGTAAAGTTTGCTGAGTCGGCTTTGATTGAATCCAAGAGAGAGGTCCGCGCAAATGTTTAAGGATATGCTGGAATGCAACAAAGGTTTGATGGTCTTTGTGCTCCGTGTGGACCCTGAAATACTCCAGGTCGACCACACTACGACTCCAATTTCCAATGATTCCTTTGTTTCACCCTGGCTGGAGCTGGCTCGCGGTGCAAGGGAATTGAAGCAAGTGAAGTCAATGCTATGCAGATGGGTGTCGCAAGATCTATAGAAAGGAACGTTACTTTTGGAACTGCTTTGCGTTAGATGAAAGGTGTCCTGATTTGGGAATCACCCAAACGAGGTTTTCTTGGCATGGATTGCAAAGAACATTGGTTCCTACCTCTAAACACAAACGTGTGACGTTGTGACAAAAAGTCGTCAACAATCATTGCCACTGACTTTCTTTGCACTGCTTTGATGCCCTCGAAGCTGTGTAAGATGAGAGATCGCTCTGTCATGTGCTGCAAGAGCAGTGGAGAGATGCTATGTTTAGTTTTTAGTATACTCGAACGTCAGAGTTGCATAAATCAGCGCCATTGCCATTGTCCCGCAATTGTGAAGACCAGAAGGTTTCTTAGAGGGTTTCTTGGAGCACTCAGCACTCTGTGTCAACCTAGACCAGTAAGCTGTTAGCTTGAGGTAAGGGCGGATAGAGATTTGGGAATTCTTTTCTGATTGTCAACTTTGGTGCGTAAGGATCCTCAACCAGACAACCAACTTCTGGTCCTCTCTCTCTCTCCCTCTCTCTCAGGTCCAGTGGCTGGATAAGTTAAAAGCAAATTCAACTGTATCCGCTCAGAGGTCTTTTTCTCAGCATGTCGTAGTTGTTCATGTTCCAAGACTACTCCCTAGTTGTCTTGACGAGGGGCCTGTCTTTGTACCAGTTTATACTGAGGGATTTACTCGCTTGATGGGACTACAATAACAGGGCAGTGCTTTGCAGTGCCTGACCGATCTTCCTGCTCTCCAATAAAAAGTCAAGCGTGCGGGCGATCAGGCAGTTGTGATGGTTCAGATTCAGGGCTCAACAAAGTCTCCTCAGGGTATCTCCTTTTGAGAAGGTTGGAGATGGAGATACCCTGAGGTGGAACTGGCTGTTTGGGGTGAACTAGATGAAAGGAAACAACTATTGGGACATGTGTCGTACCACTGCGCAAGTGGTTCTACCCCCTGCATGACCCCCTGGTAACAGGGAGCAGCAACGCAGTCGCGCATGTAGCCAGACAATGCTCTGTGGTGGTGAGTTCACCCCCCTGTCAGGTGGATGTTGTTCAGGGTGACCACAATGCAGGTGTCAAGGCCTTCTTCAACCTGACAGTCAGAAGGGGATGCATCGGACGCATCCAAAACACCAAAATCATCCAGAATCCAAAACAAGAGGCTGCTCTTGAAATCTGGTCTGCATTTGACAAGTAGCTCACATTGAAACTGTATTCCATGTTCCATGCACCTGATTTCAGAACGCCTGTGCGACACATTGAGACGCAACGGGCGCACAGTTATCTTCAGTATGACGACCATACGGCACAGTTCAATTTGCAAGACCCAAATTGATGCAAGAAATCCTTGTTTTTGGAAAAGCTGGTTAAGATGCGCTCTAGAGGTGGGTTGAATATTCCGTTGTCAGCAAACCTCGAGTTGAGAACGTGTTCAACTTCACGGGTTTGGTTTGTATTTGAGGAGGGGGTATGTATAGCAAGCAGCCAATTTTGCGGAGAGGAACTGAATTGCTACTGTTGAACCCGCGCTATCTGCAGTTTTTGGTCAAACATAACACCGAGCAGGTGTCGCAAACAGGAGCTACTTGCGCAGTGGGTGTCACTAGTCACTAGTTGTGACAAGTGCCTGAGCCTTTGTGGCAGCTGCTTGGCAGATGTGATGTAGTGATTGTGAAAACTGGAGTGTGCAAGAGACAACCATAAGTTTTCCGGAAATCTTTGTTTGCCTGCAAAATGGTACCAGCCTCAGGAACTGGAGCGTCAGTTGCATCAGCTGTAACAGCTATTCCAGTTCGGCTGCAAGGCCGGGAGATTGACCTTGGCATGTCAAGAAGACTGTGACCAACAACGGAACAGAGGGAACTTGCAGACTTGCGAAGTACATAGTGAAATAGAAAGCCAAGTGAGACTTGTAGCAACACCACGACCAACTCAACCATTCGAGCGAGAGATTTGAGCCTGCCTCGTTCTTTCACAATGTAAAACAGTGTATGATGTGCTCCTGTGTAAACTCAAGACGGAACTTTTCGCACCCTCCCAGGCTTGGGTCTTCAGCAGAGTAGGAGGTCGGTACCATTCGCTTCCAAGTGGACACTGAAAAAAGAAATTCCACCTGTAGACGTGGCTTTTCTCTGGCCAGGGCATCCTTTAGTAAGCACCGGTCACTTTGCTGCAGACAGAGGCTGAAGACTGAAGTTACATGTGAACGAGTCGTTTAGGGCTTGGAACTTTTCGAGGTGAGTTTTAGAGTTGTGTGTTTTGCACGTGTTGGCAATGAAACCTGGCACTCCCAAAGAAATTGGTTTTGTTGTCGGACATACAAATGTTGTCCGTGTGTTTTTGGAAATCTTCAATCTTGGACCACCAAGAGCTCGGTAACACTAGGGGTT